ATGCATTATCAATTTTCACATTTTAACAGTTAGAGCAGTAGGAGTAGGGGGCACAAGTATAAATTTTGGCAAGGTAGGAGCCATCTTCAGCTAAGACAGTTTCATTTTTCTAACAGGGTGGTTCACCTTTGGAATGGGTTGCCTTCAGATGTTGTAAATGCAGTAAATTTAAGTGAGTTTAAAAAAGCTTGATAAGTATATGAATGATAAGGGCTGGCATTAAGATTTTTTAAAATTATTTTAATTTAGTTTATAAGATGGAACAGCCGAGATTGACCAATAGGTCTCATGTTGTCCCAAAACATTGTTATGTTATACTTTACATTCTTTAAGACTTCTAGGCCTTCTGTGCTTTCTACCGAACAACAACATGACAAAAGAAAATGGTCTTTATTCTCCCCCACCCATTGTTTTCACTGTCCTGGTAAACAATTACCAAATGGTCCCTTGTTATTCCTAATGAGCTATTTCTAAGACAAAGTTTAAAATTATATTTAAAAATTCATTATATTAATAACGAAAAAGGTATAAAAAATAAAGTTAAATGAAAATGAAGGCCATTTAAGCCACCCTACCAAACCTTTAAACTCAATCCATTCTCCCAGCAAGGCTCCAGATAAGACAGTTATTTGGCAAAAATGGGAGGCCAGAATGTTAAAGGAGATTAAGAGGGGAATTTGTAATTTTCTAAAAATAAAGAATGGATTGAAATTGTTGATTCTCTCAAAGGCAAGTGTACAAGGATATACTATATGAAAGTGCATGGCAAAAAAACAAACAATGGCATCAGGCCATAACCATCACCGACAAACTTTTGGGACCCAGTACAAATTCAAATGTTAGTTTTAGAGTTTTAAAGCATGAGAATTGGGGAACTTTTGACTAGAATTTTGTAACAGCTGAAATAGCAGTAAAGAATACTTACATCAGTTACTCGGAATCTTCCATTAGAAAGGTCCTGTGTGGATTGGATCCACATTTGAAAACTCTAGTAACACTAATTAGCAAGGATCATTAAGTCATTCTTTCACAAAGTATTGGATTTGATGCTAAATGCTCTAAGAATTCAATCTGCTGAAAAGCTGTATCTACTCTTGATATCCATTGACTGTTTTATTGTTTTAAAATACACAGCAAATCACCCATGTTGTAACCCTTAGCTGTATTGTGTAGTCAATGACAACTGTGATTTTCTGGTTCCTGAATATAAGCAGTTTGCTTAATCAGTTCCAGAAGTTGTTCAACCTTTTAAACTAAAACGAATTAACCAGAGTTACATATATATGGTAAATGTGGGTCACATGCATATCCAAAACTGAGCTGAGCTCTCTTTTCTATTTCATTCTAATTCTGCCACTCACATCTTGCAAACTCTTCTTCTCTAAAGCTTGTCAAGAGAAAGCTTCATAAAATCGTGGCACAGCAGAACCTTAGTGACCTGATGTTAGGTCAGAACAAATGAGGTCAAACT